AGTGACGCTTTGGGTTGCATCATTTTCAGGTTGCGGCAGAGCCTACGGTACGGATCCCCACCATAACCCGAGGTTCCATTGTAGTTAGGACCACAGAGAATATTGGGGCAAAGAACCAGGAGACAGGATCAAGATGTTCTTACAGGTACTCAACAGGAACTCATGAGGCAAGACAGCTTGAATTTCAGAACCTTGGATAGCTCCAAGTGAACAACTCTCTAGCACTGCTTGAGCTCCCTTTACTCCAGTGGTGTCCAAACCTTTTTCAAAGAGGGCCAGATTTAATGAAGTGAAGGACTGTGAGGGCCGATCAAAGGGCCAACCAAAGTAGTAAGTAGTTGAGGGTTTTTTAGGATTTTACTCCAGGAAATAAACTGTCACAGGGGCCGGATTAAACTGACCGGCAGGCCGAATTGGGACTCCAAAACGGACTTTGGACATGCCTAATGTACTGTAATGTATGGGATGCGGGTGGTGCTGTGGTCTAAACCACAGAGCCTAGGGCTTGCCGATCAGAAGGTCGGCGGTTCGAATCCCCGCGATGGAGTGAGCTCCCGTTGCTCGGTCCCTCCTCCTGCCAACCTAACAGTTCGAAAGCACGTCAAAGTGCAAGTAGATAAATAGGTACTGCTCCAGTGGGAAGGTAAACGGTGTTTCCGTGTGCTGCTCTGGTTTGCCAGAAGCGGCTTAGTCATGCTAGCTGTATGCCAGCTCCCTCGGCCAATAAAGCGAGATGAGCGCCGCAACCCCAGAGTCAGTCACGACTGGACCTAATGGTCAGGGGTCCCTTTACCTTTAATGTACTCTCTGTGGCCAGCTCCCTGACCGGAAGCTGAGTGCTTGACATCTGCTCTGTAGCTTCTCACTTGGTGCACTCCCTCCACCATTGAGCAGGTGAAGAGCAGGGGGCACTTTGTTCCTCAGGCAAATTGGGCTCAGGGAAAGACATCTGTGCAGGTCCATGAGCATTAGTTCAATGTTAGGAACCCAGGTCAGTCATCCATCTGGCACTATAGCAAACTTGACTGGCTCATCCTCCTCTACCTCTGAGTCTTGACAATGACATAAAGAGAGCTAGATGGTGGAAGGGAGATAAAGTACCAACTAAATTGGAATGGCAGGTGAAGTTATTTGAATATGTAGAATGGGCAAAGATGACAGGGAAAATCAGGAATCAAACAAAACAAGAATGGGATTGATTGACCGTTAGGTCCAGTCGTGGACGACTCTGGGGTTGCGGCGCTCATCTCGCTTTACTGGCCGAGGGAGCCGGCGTACAGCTTCCGGGTCATGTTGCTAGCATGACTAAGCCGCTTCTGGCGAACCAGAGCAGTGCACGGAAACACTGTTTACCTTCCCGCCAGAGCGGTACCTATTTATGTACTTGCACTTTGTGCTTTCGAACTGCTAGGTTGGCAGGAGCAGGGGCCGAGCAACGGGAGCTCACACCCTCGCGGGGATTCGAACCACCGACCTTCTGATCGGCAAGCCCAAGGCTCTGTGGTTTAACCCACAGTGCCACCCACGTCCCGCCTTCCCTGTACTCTTAACCAATTTTTGTTTAGACAAGCATATCCAGACATGCATAGGTTATATGTGTTTCCCCTCTTTTTAGCTAGTGTTGATTTGAATTTATCTTTTGAATGCTTTTAGATACTTGGCTTTTTACTGAGAATTTTAATGTTTTATTTTACATTTTTGTAAATTGCGTAGAGTTTTTGTTTAGTTTTACAATCAAGCAGCATATAAATTTTGTTACATAAATAAAGCAAATAAACAAAAAATCTAAAGGATCCCTGGCAGGTCCCAACAAGAGCAATACAGTCCTGTTGAATCATGATTTGGAGATCCCAATCAAGCATCTCTTACGGTTTTAAACTCTTTACTGATTATTGTATTTGTACCACCAGCCCACTCTAGCCAGGATGGGAGGACAATTCCCCTCCCTTCCACTAAATGTTTTATTTTCCTTGCTAGTCACACTGGGGTGGGGTGGATGACATGCTCCTTTTTGGGTACATTGGGAAAATGAGGGGGCTTTGGATTCTGTTGGCTACCCTGACACCACCCAATCTCAGCCTCGATCAACCCCAGTTTGAAGAAGAAGTAGAGTTTGGATTTGATATCCCGCTTTATCACTACCTGAAGGAGTCTCAAAGCGGCTAACAATCTCCTTTCCCTTCCTCCCCCACAACAAACACTCTGTGAGGTGAGTGGGGCTGAGAGACTTCAAAGAAGTGTGACTGGCCCAAGGTCGCCCAGCAGCTGCATGTGGAGGAGCGGGGAATCGAACCCGGTTCACCAGATTACGAGTCCACCGCTCTTAACCACTACACCACACTGGCTCTAAGTTTGGTTCGTACCACTGACAAAAGACCAGCATAGCAGGTGCCCCCCCCCCTGTGGGTAGTGCTCCCCTCCCCTGTGGAGCAACATTTACCCAGATTCCAAAGGTCCCTCAGCTGGACTCCTGGCAAACAGAGGATTGCTCTGTCACTGCCGTATCTTTTGGTAGCAATTAAACTGAAGGCAATGCTGAAGTACCCATAAGTAAGCAATCCTACAGGACTGCGATCATTCCCTCTGGCATTTCCAGCAGAATAAATAAAGCAGAAGGCAAGCTTCAAATCTGATTTGGAGATTAATTTCCAACTGCATTGTTGATAAGGTTGTAAGAGGATAGTTTCCTAGGGGCATATGAATGTGTTATGTGAAAGCCCAGATGGGAAGACTACAAAGAAAACATGATACCTGAGCCTCCTCCTCTCTTTTGTAATAACTGTTGTTAATACACAGCGGCATATGGGAATCTTGTAGCACAATCAATTGCATGATATTCAAGATTCAGCATTGTTGGCCTCTCTGTATTCATTCTGCTATTTCTTTGCAGGAATTTCTTCCGGTAGCACTCTAAGTACAGTGGTACCTCAGGTTACATACGCTTCAGGTTACATACGCTTCAGGTTACAGACTCCACTAACCCAGAAATATTACCTTGGGTTAAGAACTTTGCTTCAGGATGAGAACAGAAATTGTGCTCTGGCGGTGCAGCAGCAGCAGGAGGCCCCATTAGCTTAAGTGGTGCTTCAGGTTAAGAACAGTTTCAGGTTAAGAACGGACCTCCGGAATGAATTAAGTACTTAACCCGAGGTACCACTGTAACAACAACCCAGAGTTCGCCTCTCTTGAAACATTCAGCAAGCATGTTGACGTATCAGCTTCATTCAAGGTCAAAATGGCAAGAAGCAGAAGCAATTTTTATCTAGCCATAATGCCTGGCTTTTCAAAGAATATTGGATAATTTTGTGTGGACACAAGTTATAAACCCAGCACTGGGAATGCAGTGAGTTCACAGTAAACAAGAGTGTAAACACAGTCATAGTTGAATATACTGCACGGGAATTGGCAGTAGTGGCTCATGCCTCAATAATCTATTAGTGCACAAAAATCCTTTGCAAAGCTCTGCCCATGTATATACAGTCTGTTGGCTGCAACCCAGATAAAACCACTTTGAATACCACAAACTCACAAACTCTGAACCACAAAAACGTCAGCAGAAGTTGTGTCTATAGCAAACTGCTTTTTCAAAAATATCAAAAAAATGTAAGGTAAAGAAAAGAAAGATTAAACAGTACAACATCTAAATCAATTTGCAACCTAAGTAACTACACACTGAGACTAGAGGGGGAAAACTCTCCAACAATCAGGTACGTAATAATAGAACCGATTTGTTCTACCAAGCTGTCAGGTAGTTAGTGGACAATTCATGTTAAATTAGAGAACAGAGACCCTGCAGTGAGACATTTTATAAGAAGTTTTACTTACCCATATATTCCCAAAGTACTAATATGCATAACCATATATGTCTGCAGCACATTGCTTAGGGGTAATCATTATGCTGTCTGTTTCTTTTCAGAACTGTTTCATTGCCAACTATAATAGCTGTTCTGTAAATGCCAACGATTCCTTCCCATCCTCCACAATGTCTTATATTTCGTAAATATCTTGAACTCCAGCACACTTGGCTTAACAGAAGCTTTATAACTTGCCCCCTCCAGAATTGAAAGGCCATAAATGCACACTTTCCCGGTGACTGACACTTTTGTAACAGCCCTGTCGCTCACCAGGTAGTTAATTCTGATTAGCTAAGTCAAGGCGCTCGGAAATTCGTCTGTTTTCGCTGCACTTGGCTCCTGCTCATATGCGTTCTGAAGAATTCTTGATGCTGCCTTTTCTTTAATGCCAGTAAATTGTCAGTTTTCAGCCAAGCCAAGTGTCATTCAGGGCCAGCCTATCCATTAGGCAGGTTGAGGAAACTCATCTCAGGCAGCAGATTTTGGTTAAAACAGAGGTGGATAGCAGCTCCGCCGCTACCTGGAGAAGTCCGGCGTCATGGACAGCCTCACCAATGTCTTGGTGGCCTTATACGAAGAACCAGAGAAACCCAGCTGTGCCTTGGACTTTATGAAACATCATTTAGGAGCTTGTTGTTGTTTAGTCATGTCTGACTCTTCGTGACCCCATGGACCAGAGCACGCCAGGCACCCCTGTCCTCCACCGCCTCCCGCAGCTTGGTCAAACTCATGCTGGTAGCTTCGAGAACACTATCCAACCATCTCATCCTCTGTCGTCCCCTTCTCCTTGTGCCCTCCATCTTTCCCAACATCAGGGTCTTTTCCAGGGAGTCTTCTCTTTTCATGAGGAGTCTCAGCTTCAGGATCTGCCCTTCCAGTGAGCACTCAGGGCTGATTTCCTTAAGAATGGATAGGTTTGATCTTCCTGCAGTCCATGGGACTCTCAAGAGTCTCCTCCAGCACCATAATTCAAAAGCATCAGTTCTTCTCACAAGCCTGAAGCATCAATTCTTCGGCGATCAGCCTTCTTTATGGTCCAGCTCTCACTTCCACACATCACTACTGGGAAAACCATAGCTTTTACTATACAGACCTTTGTTGGCAAGGTGATGTCTCTACTTTTTTTAGGAGCTACTTTACATTTAGGAGCTACTGCTCCAGAAAATCCTGAAGTGGAAGCCCTTCGCTTGGAAGTGGCAGAGATGAAAGAGAAGTATGAAGCCATGTTGGAAGAAAATAAGAAACTAAAAGCAAAGCTCGCTCAGTATGAACCACCTCAAGAAGAGAAGCGTGGGGAATAAGACCCTTTTGTACTACCTGAATAAAAGACCCTGAAGCACACACAAAAAAGTTAAAACAGGGGTGGATAACTTTTTATGCCCCAAGCGATGACCCAGCGAATCAGGCAGAGGCTGGCGAATAGCCTAGATAGGAGGATTTAACAGAAGCAGGGACAGAAATGGTGCAGGCAACTGACACTTCATTAGACAGCGTAGGTGACCTGCCTTCCTCTCAAACGCGAAGGTTTTTAAGGATACGAGAGCAGCGTGTGCAGAGGAAATTGTCCAAGAGAAGACTCCGTAGGAGCAGGTGTTGCTGGGAAAGAGGGAAGGAAGCGCAGTCAGAGTGAGCAGCTCATCTTGTCTGTTATCGCAGAGACTGAATAAATCTTACTTAAAAGCTTTCTTGATTCCTCCCGGCTCCTTGAATCGCTAGGGAGAGAGAGGTTTCTCAGGCCTGACACCACCCATGCATGAAAGAATTGCAAAATCTTAATTACTTTATTTCAATTATTTTTATTTTTCCCATAGGGCCAATTTATATTTTTCTTCAGCAGGTACCAACATACCTTGGGCAGTCTTTGATTACATCAATGCTTAAGATATGTTTCCTGCATACAGTGACAGCTCTCTCTGTCAGCAGTGCAGTAGAAAGAGAATGTTGCTGCAAGGCAAAAATGGTTTAAACAAGCAAACAAATATGCTTTCATTCTCCTCTTCCTCCTCCATGTCTCACATACTGTATCTTGTAGTATTTCAAATCTTGTAGGGAACTGAACCTGCATTCTCCACTTCACATCCCCATCATGAAAACATAACAAGATCCCTGATGGATGAAACAAAGGGTGCATTTAGATCAGTATCCTATTTCCAACTTTAGCTAGCCTGATTCTTCACAGCTGTGGGTTCCATATATTACTATGTGTAAAATAGGACTTCCTTCTGTTCATTCTGAACTTGCTCTTGACCACTTTTATTGGGTAATCCTGAGTTCTGTTATTTTGAAACTGGGGAATAAATCCCCTCATGATTCTCCTCCATACTATATGTAATTTTATGGACTTCTTTTGGTCATCTTTTTTTGCTAAAAAGGAAAGCTCCACATTTTAGTCCTTTCCCCCCATAAAGTATATCCTTCTCAGATCCTTTGATCTTATTATTTCCCCCCCTGAATCTTTTCCAGTGCCACCATTTTCTTTTTGAGATGAGACCACTGGAGCTGTACACGGTTATTCCAAATACAGCCTTCACGTATATTTATTAATGATTTTCCACAAACAGACTTCAGAGTAATGGATGTCAGCAACTATCAGGACACCGAGAGACCCTTTAAAGTTGTTAGGTAAAGGTAAAGGGACCCCTGACCATTAGGTCCACTCGTGACCGACTCTGGGGTTGTGGCGCTCGCCTCGCTTTATTGGCCAAGGGAGCCGACGTACAGCTTCTGGGTCATGTGGCCAGCATGGCTAAGCCGCTTCTGGCGAACCAGAGCAGCGCACAGAAACGCTGTTTACCTTCCCGCTAGAGCAGTACCTATTTATCTACTTGCACTTTGATGTGCTTTCGAACTGCTAGGTTGGCAGGAGCATGGGCCGAGCAATGGGAGCTCACCCCGTTGTGGGGATTCGAAACGCCGACCTTCTGATCGGCAAGTCCTAGGCTCTGTGGTTTAACCCACAGCGCCACACGTGTCCAATGTCAAATCCCCAGTTATTCATGGAGCTCATTGGATGATTTTGAGCTAATCACCATGTCTCAGACTAACCTCCCTCTCAGAGTTGCTGTGTTGCTAACATGTATGCCACCCAGAGCTCCGTGGAAGAAAAGCAGGATAAAATGTGATAAAGTATTCTTAATAAATAACTCAGACGGGTTCTGTTGTAAAACACATCCGCATTTCAAAATGTACGAAATGTTCACGCCTCACCAACTGTGTCTTCTTTGATCCAATTTGGACCTTTGTATCTGGATGGCTTACAACTAATTGATGAAGGGTGACAGGTATTAGGTAAGCTGTCACTTATCTTCCGCCAAAGAAGATTATAAAGATGGGCATAGTAATATGGTTGTCAGTCATTTTGTCATCTTAAATGTGACTGTTGCTGACAGGCTCATAAACAGCCCAGACTGGAATCCATGTTAGAATGTTAAAATGCAAATTAGTATGCTAAGAAGGGCTCTGTTTCTTATTCAGGTCTTCTGGACTTTAACCAGCTATTGCAGCTACAAAAATTTCTTCCATCAATCACCACAATCTTAGTTTTTCAGCAGCTGGGCTAAAGTCATATCCCCAGCAATCTTCCTATGTAGGTTCCAAGACCGATATTAATTGGAACAGCATACTTGCTGTCAATCAAATATCCACCAAAAGATATTTGAAACTGTTTGAGGCAAGGCTCTTTTAAAAATCCAAATTACAACATTTACACTGAACACCTAAGGCGTCTGGGAGAAAGGCTTGTCTCAAAAAATCTCACCAGAATCTGAGGAGGTAAAGAACTAGAATAGGATAGGAAGAGAGCTTCACTCACCAGCTGCATAACAGGGGTTGTTCCTCAACTTACAGTAAAGGTAAAGGACCATTAGGTCCAGTCGTGGCCGACTCTGGGGTTGCAGCGCTCATCTCGCTCTATTGGCCGAGGGAGCCGGCGTACAGCTTCCGGGTCATGTGGCCAGCATGACTAAGCCGCTTCTGGCGAACTAGAGCAGTGCACGGAAATGCCGTTAACCTTCCTGCCGGAGCAGTACCTATTTATCTACTTGCACTTTGACGTGCTTTCGAACTGTTAGGTTGGCAGGAGCAGGGACCAAGCAATGGGAGCTCACCCCGTCACAGGGATTCGAACCGCCGACCTTCTGATCGGCAAAGTCCTAGGCTCTGTGGTTTAACCCACAGCACCACCCGTAGGCTCTGCCAAAAGAACTTGATTATGGTACTTGTTGGTATAGCCTTTTTCACTCAAGACCTGGGGTTATCACTGAGTTTGCCTGCTGGTCTTAGAAATCTCCATAGCATTTCTTATTTTGTCCTCTGCCTAAAAATCCCCTCCTTGTCCCCAAATGTACTTACTGTAACACCTACCATCTAATATCAATAAATGAGTGGTTTAGACATTCTGATTCCCTTCCTCACATAAACCAGTTCAGTGATGATGGTGATGATGATCTATTGAATTTACATACTGCCCTATACCCGGGGGTCTCAGAGCGGTTCACAGAAAAGATCACAACATATATAATCAGAATAAAAACAACCCAATAACGCCCCCGGAAAGAGCCACATTTTAAAAGGGTATAGGATATCAAACAGATCAACCAAAGGCCTAGTTACAAAGGAATATTTTGCCTGGCGCCTAAAGGTGTGTAATGAAGGTACCCGGCGAACTTCCCTGGGGAAAACATTCCACAGATGGGGGGCCACTGCAGAGAAGGCCCCATTCTTGTGTTGCCACCCTCCGGACCTCTCAAGGAGGAGGCGCACGAAGGAGGGCCTCAGAAGGTGATCTCAGGGTCCGGGTAGGTTCATATGAAAGAGGTAGTCCTTAAGTTACTGCGGTCCTGAGCCTTTTAAGGCTTTATAATGATGGCATGGAAAACAACAGCAATGGGAATCTACTATCTTTGACTGGTGTTGAGAGACTGAGGAGACCTCTTCTAATCATGCCCTGCACTTTTACCTGAACAGAAACCCCAAACTCAACCAGTGTTGGGTGAAATGACCGTTTTGTGATTTGGAGTTACATCACCAAGAAAAATGTTCCCATTGGCACCAGTGGGAAGTTCCCACCCCCTTAAGCTATCTGACCACGGGTCAATTTTTAGTTCTGATCACATTGGGAAGGGAAGAGATAAACCTCCCCTCCATGCATAATGCATTTCCAATAGGAATTGCCCCTCTGTAAAATACGTGTGCAATGTATAGTCACAGGGCCTGATTTATGAGTCCAGTGGTATATTCTTGAACAAAACATTCCTATATTATCAATTTCAGAAACAGCCAAATTTTTAGTGCATATGCATCAGGCAAGTGCAACTTTCTTCACCTGTGTGTATCATGAGCCAGGATGCACCCTTCTTTGACCAGCCAGTCTTATCATGTGTTTTGTTTGCAAACCAAGGAGACAGCAGGCATGAAGAAACCAAAAACAGAAGCACCACATTGTTCATCAGAGAACCTAGTGTGTTGCAGCTCCTACCAGTCTCATATTCTGTCCTTGCCGTTTACCAGGAACTGGTGCATTCTGAATGCTTAGTAATTCCAACCACCCAGACCATGTAGGTGCAAGGGGAAAAAACTGCAACAGCATTCAGTTTTAATTATGGACATATTACAATTTCACTGTCTCGCAGTCAGAGATGATTATACATCCTTCTCAACTCGAAGGATGGACAACATAATTAGAAGTTTTGCTGGTGTCACTAGTCATACACATGGTTTCATGTAGAACCATAGAGTTGGAAGGGACCCAGAAAGTCATCTAGTCCAATGCCTGCAATGCAGGAATCTCAACATGCAGTCCTCCATCAAGTTTGCTTAGCTTGGCAAATGTGCTAGCAGTTTTACTGCTGCACCACTACGTTGGGCCATAGCAGGGCTGTTGCTTGAATGCAACTTGAATGCTTCCACCATCTTTCTGCTTCATCATAGCCATGGCTGCTATGGTTGTCAGCACAATGGGTTTTTTACTGACAAGATCTCTATGGCAACAGCAGAAGCAATGAAATGAGGGAAGAGCAGGAATATTCAAACTGTTCCCTAGGGAGTCTCCCTAGGGAGTCACACTTTAGAGAGAAACTGTGATGGCCTGGGATTCGGACTTGGATGCTGAACCTGAGGGATCCCAGCCTGCACAGGATTCCCCGCCTCCAAAACCAGCTGAGCCGGGCCTGGGGCATGAGTCTGAAGGGTCCTCACCTGTGCTGGATCCTCAGGTGCAAGCATCAGTTGAGTCTGCTCTGGCTCCTGAGGTGATGGAGGACCCATTGTCTGCAGTTGCTCCACTCTCAGCACTGTCAGAGGA